GGAGGGGAGCTGTTGCATTGTGGTAAACTGTGGTCAGTGTCAGGAGACAAAGTGTATGTAAACTCCTGTATGAAAAGTGAATTTTCTCTGTAAATCTTCACCCAAATCACATACACACAAAAAGAGTGCTTTTGCAGTAGATTTTCCCAGTGCAAAATAAAAAATAAAAGACATCCCCCTATGTGAGCTGACTTTCCCACATTGGTTCCCTTCCTCTGATCCTTCACTTAAAGTTACTGCTCCATCTAGAACAAACTCCAAAATACCATGTGCTCACTTTGAACCCTCATTTTTAATTCCTTCTCCATTCCTTTCTGTATCTCCAAATCATGTGTTCCCTTCATTACTCAACAGAAATCTTCTCTTCCTCCAAAGAGTCTTCCCTGAAAAGAAGCCTATATATCTCTTTATGAGTTCCTTTTTAGGTCACTCACTTGCCCCAATATTGAAAAAAGAAAATCAGTAGTGACACTGCTACTATGTCTAAAACTGTTCTGAGAAAGAATGCTATGATCAATTATTGATGTGTGTCTAGGTCAGTGACAAGATTGCCATTCTTGATTGTTTTTCATTTCCACTTCAGTTGATTTTATTTGCATCACTCTCTAATTGTTGCTTTTGTATTACTGCTGTGTCATTAGTCAACTGTCAGATCTCCCACAAATCATGGCATGGAGTACTAGGCACACAGTTGTAGATCAAGAATGTGTCTTACCTTTCTGGTTAGACTGACCCTTCTATCTGGAGATGTAATTTTGTGACATCAGATTCAATGTTGAAAATTAGAGCCAAAAAATATTTATTATTGAAAGAGCTAAATATTCAAGGCTTGTAGCCTCCTTCTGTTTTCATCTTTCCAATGTTCTTCCAACAAAGCCTTCTTCTCTAGCAGGTCAAGGCCCTTCAGGATGCTCCTGGAAGTTTAGAACTATTCCTACCACTGATGCTGCCTAAATAGTCTTTCTCCTCCTCTACCTATCCCAAAACTCAGACCTATGTGAGCTCCTGCTCCAGTCTCTCTCATATGTGGAAACATCTTCAGCCCACAACAGCATCTCTCCCTCTTCATTTCTTGTACATGGGAGTCCCTGTCACTTATTTGGTATTGGGTATTTTCTACCTTCTATATTATCTCCAGTTCTCAGTGTAAAGTAGCCCTGGCTTTGGGTGTAGCTAGACTTCACACCCAGACCTGGTAAAACATAACCTCTCTGAGATTCCTGTTTGTAAGCAGTGATGATTCCTGTTTCATTCTGTCTTTGGACTAAGTGTGATTGCATATATAAAAATTACTGATGCTCCACTTAAGGACTTCTGGTAAGATGGTGGAATAGGCAGACAAGATACACAGACCCTCTTCAACAAAGAAAAGAGAAACCAATTGAGAGAGATATAGAAGATAATCCTGGAGCTCTGATCTCTGAAAGGAAGTATACAGAAGAGGATTCGTCATGAAGTAGTGGAAAAAACTCAATGAATACAGTGAGTACAGAGATGGTCAGAGCAGTGGACTGTCAGCTACTCTGACAGGACCAACAGCTTGAATATTTCCAAGTGGTTTTGGGACCTGACAATTGACCTAAAGATCAGCCCTGGTCATCAAGGGCTTCAGGGATGACTGCAATGGTGGCCTATGACTAGGAAGGGCAACAGCAAGGAGGGAAAGAACTAGGACTGTGGACTTCCAACTGTCTGGAGAGCACAGCTATTTTGAATGTTTACAAGTGATGGCCATTTTGGATATTTAAAGTGACTGAGGGTGCAGCTATTTTGAATCTTTACAAGTGATGGCCATTTTGGATTTTAAAGTGACAGCATTCTCATTCTGACTCCAGGGACCTAAGAATAGACTTTGTTTTCCAAGGATGACAGGGACATACAGGAGGCTGACAATGGGAAAGGAGACAGGAGTGTGTATAAGTGCTGCCAACTAGTGAATAGAGGAGCACAGCACAGTACCTATTTACATAGATAACAAACAAAACAAAGAAACCAAAAAGCATGGGCAAGTCACTCCAATGTACAATCACCAATTAAATATAAACATAAAAATGTCACAATTGCCTCAGAGACAACAGGGCATCACAGTCCACACAAAGAAGCAAGATAAAGCAGGAGAAACAAAAGACCAGTATACAGACCCAGAACGCATTCATGAGGAAGAAACAACATTGGAACTTCCTGATAAAGAATTCAAAAGAATTATATTTAGGTACCTTCAATGGATTGAGAGACAGATCAAGAAAACACTGACAAAATAGAGGAAAACAGAAAATCCTAGAACAATTCCAAAAGACAATACAAGAACAAAAGGACAAAACAAATGAAAAATTAGAAATGATACAAAATCTACAGATAGAAATGCAGAAGATTAATACTAAATTTTCAGAAATAGATAATACATTGAACAGGCAAGGGAGTAGAATTGAATCAATGGAGACAGAATTATTGAGATTGAAGACAAATACCTCAATACTTCTTTGGAGAGGGATCAATCAGAAAAAAGATCAAAACAAAATGAAGAAAGCCTAAATTTCATGTGGGATGCCATCTAAAGGAATAACCTATGTGGAGCTCTGGTAGCATAGTGGCTAAGTCACTTGCCTGCTAACCAGACGGCTGGTGGTTCAAACCCACCAGCCACTCCTCGGAAGGAAGGTTGGGCAATCCTACTTCCGTAGTGATACTGCCTCAGAAACCCAAGGAGGGGTTGCTATGAGTCGGGGCTGACTCAACGGCACATAACAACAACAATCTGAATTCCAGAATAGGAAGAGACAAATAAAACCACAGAGAAAATTGTTTAAGACTTCTTGGAAGAGATTTTCCCTGGTATAATGAAAGAGGACAATATATCCATCTAGGAAGTGCAACAAACCCCAAACAGGATAGACCCCGAAAGAAAATCACCAACACATATCATCATCAGACTCACTGAAACCAAAGACAAAGAAAGAATCCTGACAGCAGCATAGGGAAAATGAAAAGTTACCTACAAGTGACAACCAATAAAACGAAGCTTGGATTTCTTGGCAGAAACCATGCAAGGGAGAAGATAATGGGGTGATATATATAAAACCCTGAAAGATAAAACTTTCCAACCAAGAATTATATATCCAGCAAAATTGTCCCTCAAATATGATGATGAAATTAGGACATTTCCAAATAAGCAGAAATTAAGAGAATTTGTTAAAAGCAGACCAAGATTACAAGAGATGCTACAGGGAGTCCTTTGGACAGAGAACCAACAACAGCAAACAACAACTGACCATTAACACACATGCTGACATAACCCAGAAACCAACCTTGTTATGGAAATATCCAAAGTAAATAAGCCTACAAGATTGTAAACAGGGAACGAGAGACATCAATTGAAAAATGAGGACAACTAAAAACCAAAAGGAGGAAAATAAGTTGTGTAGTTACAAAACTTCTAAATGGTAAGGAAGTCAAGAAAACTGCAAGACAGAATGGACTGTTCTGGACTTGGGAAGAAAATTATAAATTACATGGTAACCTCAAAGAAAAATGATAAACTTTCACATCAAAGCAAAAAAGAGGACCAATGCAAATATTTAGCAAATAGTAAAACAATAGCAATGAAGAAAGTGATAACATGATTTATAAACAAAATAAGCTCACACAGAAAATTATACATTATGCTGAGTGAAATAAGTCAATCATAGAAGGACCAATATAGTATCAGTTCATGATTGTAAAAAGTCAAGGAAAGGTTTATATATGGAAGGAAAGTTTCCTTGTTGGTTACCAGAGGTGGGTGAGGAAGGAAATTGTGATGGTTGGAGCTGTGTGTCAACTTGGCTGGACCACAATTCTGCGTGGTTTGAGCTGTTGTGGTGTGGTTGTTCCCATGATGGGATCAGATGACTATGTTCTGAGTGTCCAATCTGTTGAAAGGGAGTTTCCCTAGGGGTGTGGCCTGCTTCCAGTATATCCAAGGACATCCTGGGAAGAGAGACATTCTTCTGTGGATTGGGATTCTGTTGTGCTGCCTACAACTGTCTGTGAGTGAACAGTACACCATTCAACCTGAAGATCTTGGATTTGTCATTTGTT